TAAAGGAGTGAGAAGGTGCCCTCGGGTGATGCAACTTACAGGAGTCAAATACAGCTGGTTCCCAGTTCATCAGCCACATGAATTTGTCTGGCTGATTGTCAGATTAGATGGAGGAAATAGTACCAACACACTGGACAGAGCAGAAGGCTGAACAACAGAGATTCTGCACTCCGGGTGACCATAAATAAAGCTTGAACATGGAACTGCTAAGACAGCAGCCTTAATGTGATGAAAAGCAGAATGTAGCTGCCTGGCCACTGTGTCACCACTGGTCTGTGAAGGAAACAGAATTTACTTAAAGACAGTGGAAATGGACTGTAGACAGTCACCAAAAAGACGGATGTGGGTGTGATTTGTTGGCTAAAATTATGGTTAGGTCACCTCCATTCCACTGGAATGGGAAGACTAATGGCCTTCCCAGCTAGAGCTGTTACGGGGTTAGAATAGCCCCAGATGACAGTCTCATGGGACACACAATGTTTGTTTGGTGCAGGGCACTTTTTCAAACGGTACGAGATTCGTTAGTGTGTAAAGCAGTGGCATATGGGATGGCTTGATTAGCACTGGACCCGCTATGACCCAGGGGTGTTAGGAACTGCTCTTAGGGTATGATCAGTTATTTTATGTTTTTCATCATGATGTAAGGGACTTGCAAATTCTCATAATGACACAGAGGAACTTCTCTTCCAGGAAGCAGGCCACATTTAGAAAGTTGGTCTGGAGGGACAATGAATATCTAATTGGATGAATTAACAGGATGATGACTCTATGGGAACCTCACCTCTGTCAACAATGCTGAGAGCAGGATGGAGTGTATCTGAAGTGACTGGAGTCCTGGAGAGTCAAGCTAAGGAAGACCAACAATGGGAAATCTAAGGTAAACCCAACTTATGGCAGGTTGTCACTGGACAGTGTGGTTTGCATTGTCTTCTGGATGAAAGTAAAATTTATCTCACCAATGGTACAATTGGCTGGGAATGGAAAAATAAAGGAGAAACACCTCTTAGAAATATTAGGGGATGCAGATGGTGTTATAATATAATGACGACTGAAAGTTGTCAATTGTAAAAACTTGTTTTACAATGTAGTTATATTTGCAAAGCAGACGGAATCCAGAATTGACAAAATAATATTAATCCTAGTCCCCATTGTCATCACTGAGACTGTGTGGTATGTTGGAAAGAAAAAGACTCTTTAAATACATGCTGTATGGTGTGGCAAATAAGATGTTAATATCTCCAGTACGGTTATGTGGTATAACAAAGGATTTGTACATCCATAAACAGAATTAAATAAAAACCAGACTTATGTAGACCAGTGGCCAGTAAACTAATGCCCTTAGGCCAGATTTGGCCTGTAATGTATTTTTATATGGCCCATGGGTTAAGTATGGTTTTAAGATTTTTAAAGGGTTACAAACAAGTAAACAAATAAAACAAAGAAGAATATGTGATAAAGACTGTGGCCTGCAAAGCCTTAAGCATTTACAATCTGGCTGTGTTAGGCTGATTAATACCCCCCCCATTCCCCAAAATGTCCATATCCTAATCCCCAGAACCTGAGAATGTTACCTTATATGGCAAAAGGGACATTGCCGATGTGATTAAGGATGTTAAAATGGAGAGAGTATCTGGGGTTATCCAGGTGGGTCCCAAGTAATCACAAGGGTCCTGATGAGAGGGGAGCAGGAGATGAGAGACTACAGGATATCTGAAGATGAAAGCAGGAGACCATAGTGTCCATGTGGCCTCTAGCAGCTGAAAAAGACAAGTGGATGAACTCTCCCCTCAGGGTCTCCAGAGGACCAGCCCTGATGACTCCCTGAGGTCAGCTCTGTTAGACTCAATTTAGACTTTTGTCTACCAGGACTGTAGCAGAAAAAAAAATGTGTGTTGTTTTAAACTACTAAGTTAGCAGTAATTTGTTACTGCAGCAGTGAGAAAGCAAACACAGAAGCCCTTTTCAGAAGTAGCTTGCTAGCCCCTGTGGTAGATGAATGTGCCCAGGATAAGAAAATATTCTGGGGGAGTCTGATGTAAACCCTCAAGTAATAGAATGCCTATGGAAACAGATGTCCCAGAAAAACATTTAAATTTGGCTTCAGGAAAAATACACACTCAATTAAATGCCTCCATTATCACATGTATAAATTTCTAAATCATTACAGATAATAGGAAAGAAAAAAAAGTATTTCTGCTGGTAAAAGAACATCAAAAGACCTGTGAGGGGATATGGTCAAGATTAACAAATTTCTTAGAGGGAAATCCTACTCATGACAGAATTGCTCAAATTATGGTGATCACTGGGGTGTTAGTAGGCATATTTTTTAATAAAGTACTAGAGGAAATGTTGAAAACTAATAATGAGAAATATTTTGCAAGGAGATATTGAGCAAAGTGGAAAAAGGACTGTCAAGTGAGTTCTTAAGCAGCGTGCCTACAAACGATTTTCCCCTTTTACTGTGGAATTGTCCTGGCAAACCAACCAGCCTGGACTATTTCAAGTGGAGCCTGTGTTCTTCCAAATACTGGTGCCCAAAAATGGATGAACAGAGGAAAGAGAAATGTGTGGCAGGTGTTTCACTGGTCTCTGGCTGAAAATACATCAGGTATGTCTACAAAACGTTGAAAATAAGAAATACATACACACACATACACATACCTTCAAAGGGCAATCTCTAAACCCCATGCCTCTAGTTCCATAAAAGGTTCAGAGAAACTGTTTTCATAGCTTACTGCATGCATACCCGTAATTATTATAGAGGACTCTCAGAGACCATTCAGTACAAAACAGGAATAAGACCTAGTATGTCAAAACCAGTTTTATTTCCATCAGTAGCACCGGCCCTAATGGTAAAACAAGGGTTAAGAAATCAATTTAACCTTTCTAAATTGATTTCTTATATAACCTTCCATTGATTTTTCTAACGCAAATGTATTGCTGGCAAAATAGTGGAGATTTGTTTGACCTCTTTATTGTTGTAGGATATAGCAATAAATTTTTTAACTGAGATTCCAATTAGCTTTCTGCTCTTACAATATTTTACCTAAATCTTCCTTTTAAGTTCCCCTAAGGTTACCAGAAAAAATCGTCTAAGCATGACTGTATGAAAAGGGTAGAAGTAAAGAAAGCATTTCTTATGTCATGTACAAAATTGAGGTTACTCTAGGTTAACTGAATCTGATTCCTTGAAGAGATAAAGATGCTCTAAATCACGAAGAATTAATCAGAAAATTCTAATTGAAAAACAGGACCTCAGTACTCTATTATAAAAGAGGAGAAAGTGCCAAATTAGCACAACAGAGCAGGGAAAGATGAAAGACATTTTATAGATCATCGCCTTCCTGACCCTTGTAAAAGTGCTGTTACACAGAAAAAACAAAGAAGAGAGCCCCAAAGAGCAAGGTTACAGGATTAGGGCCTCCCAAGGAGAGCCTCTAACAAAAGGAATTTGAGTTTCATAATTGGAGGTGGTCTGCATGTGAAATTTTCAGATGTCCCTGCAGATACTAAGACAGGGGGTGTGATGTCTCAGTAATTCCTGAAGGGCAACTGAGAGGGAGGATACAGGACGATATTACGGACACAAGAGTGGAGAGAGAAAAGCTTTCCAGGGCAGGTCTGGAACAATCCCGTCTATGCCAACCACTCAGGTTAGACATTTAAATGTACATTAAAAAGCTGTCTTCTTTCACTGCTGATCTACCTGGCTTTTACTGACCTTGAATAAGAGAAGGATGAGAGAGTGGTGGGAAAATAAGAAGAAAAAGGTAGGGCAATCTGGAAATGCCCCTGGCAGCCACAAATACAACCACAGGACAGTCACAGGAGACGGAACACTGATACGGGGAGACTCGGTTTTTCAAATATCTGAATCCCTCAGTTCAGAGGGTTTGGAAGAGAGAAGGGAAATAAGAAGTGTGGGGTGTGCAAGTCCAAGGGTACCCCACTTTCACACCTCAACATCTACCTGGGATTATTTATACTTAAAAAATGAAGGAAAGGAATTGGATTCGAGGATAAATTCAAGTTTTTTGGTATCTCTAAATCTACAAATTCTAGGCAAGTTTACTTGAAGTGAAAGGCATTAACAGTATATTATTTAAACATTTACTTTAGAAAAGGAAAAATATCTGACATAATTTAGTGTTTAGATTGCCAGCATATCTTTGATTATTCCTTTATAGATGTTCTTCTTACACCAGGCGTATTGAGGTTGTAGGCATATAAAGAATTGTGTGCTTTGGACCAGACTACATATTAATCTTAGCTATGATTCAAACATCAAAACTTATTGTACAAAAGGTTAATAATTTCACAGCAGTTAGGCATTCACTATTGTCACTGAGGCATTAAGGTAATGCTGAATTACTATATTTCATCACTACACTGAACTGCTTTTTGGTATATTCCTAATTCATGCCAGTTTTTATTTCTTTTAAATCTAATTAGCTATACCCTCGAGAAAATTCTGAAATCCTCAGATTCTTCCATTTCTAAACATGAATTAGCACAGGTGAATTTAGCATGTTTCAAGGCTGTCATATAATTCATGGTAATATTTTTATCTCTCAGAAACTGTCAAGCTAATCTTAACAGTAGAAGATATTTACTTTATCAGGAAAAAGGATTTGAAAGCAATATGACTAGTTCATATTTCCTGGAGAAGATAGAAGTTTTAATTTACATATATTTTTATGAGACAATATTTGAAGAGGGATTTAAATGGAAAATGCCATGACCTAGCAGAAGACCCAGCTCCCCTTTCTTTTCTTCAGTCATTCCCATAATACTTACTTCACTTTGGGCAGATAGAATACAGTCCAGTACTGGGAGCTGTCTTACACATGTGTTAGTTGTGGCTTTACAACTAAATCATAAATTCCTTACATTAGGATTTGCAGCAAGATCTCTTTATAAATTCCAGCATGTCACACAAAGTGTTTACTTTAAATTTAAGCTCTTTATTTTATTTTTAGACTATACTGTATAATAGTTACCTGAAGACGTGAAGGTATCTTCATGTGCTTTCATGGGAGCCTTTAGTTGAGTAAGAAAACTCATCAAGTAGTATGATCAGTATAAACCTCCTTCTGAGTGTTCATTCTTCCAGGAATTTCTGCAGACTGAGATGATGCATCTCTCTACTCAGGACCTTGCCATCTAGAAGTAAGCCTAAAAGCAAACACAAAATGCAGACACGTGAACACAAATGTAAACCACTGGATTAGCAGGTAGATTTAAGTATGATGCAATTTAGGAAACAAAAATTGGAATACACAGGAGATGACACATGGACTTTTCAAAGAGGGACCGGGAGATTATTTAAAACAAAGTTGTCCACTTAGGAAAAATAATACTGGTCATGTTCAGATTGTGGTAAAGGACACAGAGTTTCTTAGCTTGAAACGCAGTGCTGAAGTACATTGAACTCTTAGGGCAACTAAGTAGGAAGGTGACTAAGAAGGAATAGTGAAGTCATGAATTAAGGGTTTTCAGAGGTGATTAGGAGTCATTCTAGATTCCAAAAAAGGAGAATGACTAGGTGATATAAGCACACTTATGCCTGACAATTATTATTACTGTGTACTGTATACTATATAATTTAGGCAAAAATAACAAAAATGCCCTTTATGGATGCCATCTATAATTAAAAGTTTTAAGCATGCAAAGGATATATTGTATCTGACACTGAAAAGAATAAATGTGAAGTTGCCTAACTGGTGATGCCAACATTCAAACGGACAGATATACTACGTATATAACACATGTATGTATGTACATTTATAAGATATATGCATATACCTTGTATGAAGTATATAATAAAATAAAACAAAAACTATTTCAAAAGATAAGAATTTTATCATTTTAACTGAAAATTAAAGCATAATTACAATGTGAAGAAAACATATAAATCTGAGAAAGTACTCAGAATATTCTCATATGGTTATTATAAATGATGACTATGAATGTTGATATCTCAACATACTTTTTTGGGGGATGTGGGAAAACCAAAGAAGTGGAATAAGTACTATAGAACAGATGCTGTGGGATTCCCAGGGGCACTGAATAGTTTTACTCCGATTTGTTCTTAGATGCAAATATTCATCTTAAAGCTTAAAGGTCTCTAATTAGAATACAATGGGAAAACAGGTTATTTTCTCTATAACCCAAGAGAAAATCTTTTTAGCAGATAGCTGTTGAGAAATATCACTGTAACAAACATGGTAAGGCTGTAAAAGAGAAATAGTGGGGCAAAAAGTAGTCAATATCTGTATTTTTAAGTTTGAAGGTTTGCAATCTTTCTGGAGGAATCCTTAAACATATCTAATATTATTGTTTTATAATATTATAAAGTAAAATTTTCTTTTTGGGGACTAGATACTCTTTATATAATGTAAATAATACTCCCTTTTAAATAATTTTTATTTCCTGGTAGATATATAACTAGGCTTGGTATTAAAACAGTAATCCCAAGAGATGCATTGCTTTCATCTGTAATTTGTTCATGAGTTTTCAAACTCATTATGTGACTACATAATATACTAAATGAGGAAAGTATCAATTATAAAAAGAAAATGCCCTCTAAGAAATCTGTCTAAAATTACAAGGTATGCTAGAGTCTGTCAAACGCACAAATTTTAACATTTAAATTGGACATTAATTTAAATTAAATATCTTTATCTTAAAAATATTTGAGTTGTTTAAAAGGCAGTATAGGAAATTATTGGCTAGGGAATCCCACACTGTTACTTTTTTTCAAAGCATATTCTGCCCTCTTACAGTAATTTTCTGAGTGACTCACCATGACAATATAATAAAGAAATAAATATATGTTGGTATTAGATGTTTTTAAAATATTGCCTTAGCAATTTAAATAATTTCCTTAGCATATTAATTTTATATGCCTGAAATCTCGGTAGCCATGTTTTAGGTCAAAAGCTTCATAATATTAATTAGAATTTGAAGGGAATCAGAATTTGCTGCCCCCAAATATTCCACTTTGGCATAAGGATTGTTTCAAGCTGAAAGAAATTAGCTTTCTGCCCTCACCCTTTCAGTCTAAAAGCAGGACATAAATTCCCCTTTGCAAAGGTGTCACTTTTCCCAGAACCAGTAAGAGGAGGGTGACTCAACTGAAGACAACTCTCATCACTGAAAAAGGAATCAACTTGAGTCTGCATAACACACCTTACTAAATAACCCTTATCTTGCACTAGTTTCCCCCATATATTTTATCTATCCCAATTTACTGCCCTAGAAACACAACCTTCCCTTCCTTTGTTGAGTTACTTCACAGTTTATTGCCCTTTGTTAAAATGATATATAAGCCTCTAGATCTAACCACTTTTTTATGGTTTCCACTTCTTTTCTGCGAGGCTCCCTGTATGCATGCAAAATGAACCTTTCTCCTGTTAATCTGTCTTTTATCAGTTTGATTTGCAGGCTCCAGTTACTGAACCTAAGAGGATATACAGGAAAGGTTTCATTGTTGTTGGTGTTGTTTTACTTCCTCTACATTATTAAAGCGTGGTGAAAAAACTATTATTTGAGTGGGAAATAAGGTTGGGAAACCCAAGACAAACCTGATTCACGCTTCTCTATTTTCATATCTTGACATGCATATTTAATCTCTTAATTGAAAAGAACAAATCCTCATTTTCGATTTCATCAACACATAATGGGAATGAACCCTCCCTGGGACTGTAATGGGTCAGAAGAGAGGCATCTGGGATCTAGGGAATAAGCAGACCACACAGGGCAGGCCAAACAATCGAGGTTCAAGCAGAAGGTAATAAAAAGGGTCCCCAAAATGCAATTATGACATAATGTAGAGAGAGGACTTCTTATTCACAGTGTACTGACTAAACGAGTTATAATCTATGTGACCTCACTTCCTTTGCCTGTTCACTGGGCACTTGCAATTGCCAGACATCTCTGTGGATGTTACAGGTACATTTGTAAACACTTAATTTCTGTATATCTTGATCATGTAAGTAAACTTTCATAAGCTTCAGTTACCTCATCTGTAAATATGTTAATAATAGTAAGTAGCTCTTAACATTGCTGTAAGAATCAAGAGATCATGAATGCAATAAAGAAGATGTGGTACATATATACAATGGAATATTACTCAGCCATAAAAAGGAATGAAGTTGTGTCATTTGCAGAGACATGGATGGACCTAGAGACTGTGATACAGAGTGAAGGAAGTCAGAAAGAGAAAAACAAATATCGTATATTAACGCATATATGTGGAATCTAGAAAAATGGTACAGATGATCTTATTTGCAAAGCAGAAATACAAACACAGATGTAGAGAACAAACGTATGGATACCAAGGGGGAAAGGGGGCGCTGGGATGAACTGGGAGATTGGGATTGACATATATACACTACTATGTATAAAATAGATAACTAATGAGAACCTATTGTATATTACAGGGAATGCTACTCGGTGCTCTGTGGTAACCTAAATGAGAAGGAAATCCAAAAAAGAGTGGATATATGTATACGTATGGCTGATTCACTTTACTGTACAGCAGAAACTGACACAGCAGTGTAAAGCAGCTATACTCCAATTTAAAAAAAAAGAGATCATGAATGCAAATGTAATATGTATATGAGGCCCACAATGAACAGTAAATATTATGATTATTACCATCAATAAATTGTTTGGGCAAGTGTTATAGTGCTCCTATTACTGGATTGTGCAGTTTGAAAGGAACTGGCGCACTTTGAATGGTATTGAGATAGTGACCTTGTCGCTGGAACTTAGGTCTGGAGATTTAAACACAAGGAATAGGGAGGTAGTTAACTTATTAATCACTCAGACCAGACTCTTGAACCTCTAATTTACCCTTCAGTAAAATGATTGCAAACATAAGTTTGGAACCAGCCTGGTTGAGTTTAAATCCCAGCTCTAATTCTCAGTAGCATTTTAAGCTTTTGGAAAATTCCTAATGTTGTGAGCCCCAAATCTCTTATCTGCAAGAGGGAAATGATGACACTACACTTGAGTTAAGGGACACAATGCACTTTTTAAGAGTTCCTTGCACTAGTGCTCAACAAGTGTTTGTGACTATCTTTAGATTTGTCAGTGGTTCGCCACCTTTGAAAATTATGTGCCACCATTTGCATCTGCAGGGATACTGAAATCCACAGGATCTATGAAAAAGCAATAGAGAGACAGCATGAGTTGACTTCTAACTTGCAAAGAGATTAGGGTACTGATAACAACCCCTGCAGTTTCAATTCAGATGCTCTCAGGTTCCCTCCTTAACCATAAACTACCAAACTAGGTTTTGTTAAACAATCCTTGACTAGAACCAAGATTGGTCCCAAACTGTGCAATGGTACTACGATTAACGAGAATTCAAGTGACAGCAGTTATAGCAATTATTACAAATTTTGTGAAGGAATGCAAAACGGAAAATTTCCATTTTCTAAGTGGCTAAAAAATTTGCCTGATTTTGTCTTCTATGTGTTTGTCTTTTTTTTTAAACATCTTTATTGGAGTATAATTGCTTTACAATGTTGTGTTAGTTTCTGCTGTATAACAAAGTGGATCAGCTATACATATCCCATATCTCCTCCCTCTTGCATCTCCCTCCCTCCCACCCTCCCTATCCCACCCCTCTAGGTGGTCAGAAAGCACGGAGCTGATTTCCCTGTGCTATGTGGCTGCTTTCCACTGGCTATCTATTTTACATTTGGTAGTGTATATATGTCCATGCCACTCTCTCACTTTGTCCCAGCTTACCCTTCCCCCTCCCCT